TCCAGGTCAAACAGTTCCAGCACCAATCGGCTGCACCAGGAAGGACAGCGCTCCTTCCAGGCAGCTCGGGCAGTGCTAGGTGCAATCTGTGGGCCAGCACCCTGGAAGCCCCTTTCCAGGCTGTCCCAGCAGCCACACCCAGGGATAGGCTCCAAAATACCTATATCATCAATCTCCAATAACTGGGAAAACCTCAGTAGTAACTTTCTACACACACTCACACCAAGAAAAAAAAAAAAAAAAAACCTGCAAAATCTCCACATTTGGTGAGAACTCACTTTTTAAAATACCTGACATTCTATACAGATTTAGTTTGCTCTTTCTGGTTTGTGACCACATATGAAAAAAGTGATGATATCTGGGCATTTTTTTCAATGAGTTACCAATGCACGGGTGCACACACACAGGTGTGTGTATGTGTGTGTGTGCATATGTATATCTGTGCATGCATGCACATCCTGTGTGCATGTGTGTGTATGTGTGCGTAGAGTTCTGGGGATGAAACACAGGCCTCCTGCACACTAGGCAAATGCACTGACCTACATCCTTAGTCCCAGGGCAGAAGCTCTGAAGTCTGTAGATAAACTATACGTCCTCCACGAGAGCATTATGTAACACAGTGAGGGAAGAAACAGAAAGATGACGACCTTCAAACTGTTAACCTCTGCTCTAACCAGCAGGAAAGTTACTCTCTGGACTGTAGTGTCTCCCACAAGGCAAGCACCTCCAAGGATCCCTTATGGGTTAAGCATCCTATACCTGATGAGAGAAATTTTACATTTTTAAAAAGTACTAAATTTTTCTAATAAAATGTATCAATTTTCTCAAAAACATCAAACATTTCAGTAAAACTAGCTTTCTGAAAAAGCTATTTAACATCATAAATGAGGAGTTTTTAAAATAAAATTGTAAGAAACCTGAAATGCAGGATTATGTGACAAGTCAATCGTTCATCTCCTCTCCCTATTTAAGTCTGGAAACCACAGTTAAGGTTTGCTGCTTTTTCAATTCTCAAATCATTTCTCAATATAAAAAATCTTTCTGAAAGAAATAATAAATTACCGCACACCTGAGTTATAACTCTCAAGATTTTATTTCAGTAGTTCACACTCAAACTCTCTCAGAAAATCACTTTAATTCCTCACCAGAGTCCTACAACATTTTATAGTTGGTGCCACCAGAGGCAGCTGCACACAGCAAGGCCACTTCAGTGACCTGAGCATTGACAAATTCAGTGAAATGAACTGAAAACTCAGTCACAGAAGGCCAAGGCCTTTCCATACAACTCTGCTTAAGGGGGCCTGCGGGTTAGCTCAGTTATTTCAAGCATCTGCTTGGGCAAACTCAAGCGCAGGGGACCGTGGTTTGATCCCCAGCTCCACAAGCCACACCAGACCCGCCCTTAAGGTAGCCTGAGCCAGCCCCCCCCAAAAAAAAAATTCTTCTCGTACAACTTTGCTTAAAAAGTAGTTAATGAGTAGGCCACTCTGAATATTAATATGTCAAGATTTAATCACCTTCCAGGGGCTGGGGAGATGGCTCAGTGGAATAAGCGCTTCCCTGGAAAGCACAAGGGTCTGAGTTCAATCCCCAGTTCCGCAAAAAAAAAAAAAAAAAGATTTAATCACCTTCCAAAACTTAAAAATGCTTCCTATCTACTAAACTGCCCAAGCTGGCCTCAAACTTCAAATCTTCCTCCCCAGACTGGCAGACTGCTGGAATCACACATGTGCAACACCAGGCCCAACTCTTTTTAATATTTTTGAAACAGGGTCTGGTTAAATCACTAAATCACCAGGGGTGGGGGGGCAGCTTTCCAGCTATCATGGGGGTGGGGCTGAACTTTCCATCTTTTCGTCTCAGTCTCCCAGAGTTCTGGGATATAAGCATGGACCGATACATTAGTTAAAGCCTGCTCTCAAAGTCTGCTTTCAATTAAAATTTAAACCCCTCTTTCTAAATGATGCCATTTACTTCCTTTCTCTGTTGGTTTCACTAATGGAGAAAGGAAGCCATGAAATGAACAAAGCTCTCATTTTTAATACCACATCAGTTGCTAAGCAAAGCAAAAAACTCCAGAACCTTTGCTTTAGCTTCCAAAACAAAATCTGAAATGCCAATCCAATCATAATTGGGAGTAGAGGGTATTTTGAGATTAGGGTCTCACTATGTAGTTTACGCTGGCCTTGAACCCACTATGTAGCCTAGACTGACCTCAAACTTCCGGTGATTCTCTTGCCTCAGCCTTCCAAGTGTTGAGATTACAGGCATGCACTAACACGCCTGGCAACCATAAATTTCAAGATGACAATCTTTTGGTCCTTTTACCTCCTTTTAACAACCCATCCTTTTATCTCCTAATCTGCATTGGAAAAACGTATTTGGGTAAGAAAAGGATCATTCTTAAAGCTCAAATTCAGTTTCTTAGTTTGGTAATACACTGTGCATGGTGACTCTAAAATTATAAGCACATATCCCAGAGGACAACACTTCTTTTATTAGCAATTGGCTTTGAAAATTCCATTCTAGGATGCTAAATATAACAAAATACCTCCTGAATTTCATAAACACATTCTCCAGATTACATTGATACTAGTGATTGTCTATTTACAAGACAGTTTTGCCACCACATTTAAATAACACTTTGAGGAATCTTTCAAATTTACTGTAGCTCTTTTTTAAAAAAATCAACCTGAAAATTGGTCTCTGGATTCTTCTACTATGAAATAAAGAAGTTCCCATTTCAAAGTTCATTTCCTTAAAAAGACATCCTCATTTTGTGATCTTTAGTATCCTTGGATTGTGACAAGGAGACTGGCAAACCTAGAACTACAGAAGTAGGGTTTTCTCCAAATCATGCAACAGGATAGACAAGGGTTCTTAAAATCTTTCACTATACACATTCATCAAAGGCAAATAATACATTTCACAACTTTTAAAATGTGCCCTTATTTTAAAAACCTCACACTGACAATTCAGAAATAATGAGAAAATGACTGCCTTGCCAGGCTAATGGACTACATCAGGCACTTAACGGGACGCACAGCTGCTGTATCCTGGGAACAACAAGCACCTAGGGGACCTCATAACCCATCCTTCTGCCTCGACCTGTCGCTGGACAGCTCCTCATCCTCCCTACCTAACACATGGTCGTAAAAGTAACTGCATCTTCATCTTTGGAGAATTCATCAAGAAAAAATGCACACAGAGGCTAGATATTTGGTTTTACCAACAACACCATGGTTGTTTTGTTTTTTTTACCTTGTCTAATTATCATAAAGTGAGCTTTTGAAAAGTATAACTTACCATCTATCATGCATTTTCTTTTCCCTCTTTTCAAACCTTTTTGGCCTACTGAGCCCCATTAACATCAAGTATGAGCTCATCCCCAGAAAGGGCCACAGAGCCTTCCACATTCTGAACAAGGTACTCCCAATTAAGTGGTACACAAGGTGAGTACGGAGACGTTTGGGGTTGACCCAAGACATTCAACAAAAGATTAGAAGCTGGCCATGACGGCACATGCCTGGCATCCCAGCGCTGGGAAGGTTGAGTCAGGAGGATTGTTGAAAGTTCAAGGTAGCCAGGGCTACAAAATGAGTTCAAGGCCAGCCTGAACCACACCATAAGACCCTATCTTAAAAACATAGAAAAGACCAAGAGACAGAGACAGAGAGTAGCAACTTCAAAGTATCTCATCTCTACAAGTAACTCCTAAACCCGTACCTCCAACCCTAAATTTTCTCTAAACTATGTTCTAAATGTAATCAATATGAACAGTTCTTACATAATCCACTGTCAACACAGAAACAGTGTTATTTTAAACATCTCAGTCTTTCCGTGGAAACATTCCTCCTAGAGAAACTGCTGTGTTACAACCTGTCACCAAATCCTATGCTTGCTACTTCCCCAGGAGAGCAGAGAGTACAGGCTGAGTGAGTGGGTGCACAGGTCTGATGTTTAGGCGACAGCGACTGGTAGGAACTGATGATCCTCACTCTAGCTGACCACTAACCAGGTGAGAATCTGACGGCAGATTATTCAAGATTATTCAAGACAGACAATAAATTCAGATTCTCAGGAGGAGCTTTCTGACATTTAAAGCAACATGTGGGCCTAAGAAATCATCTGCAGATCCCCTGCTGACAACCCCTGAGCCAACAAACCAGGCTATTCCAGTTAAGGTTTCCTGGGTCTATTTCACGCATCGCTGCGTGATCAGTTATCCAAACACACTGCTCCTGATAACGTCACAACTCAAAAAGCACAAACACTAGTGCAAAAATCGCAAGACTGCCTCGCAATGTTGCACACACCTGTAATCGCACGCCTCTGGAGGCTGGGGGGGGGGGAGTTCGCGGCGAGTTCGAGGCCAGGCTGGTGTTCTGCTGTCATTCGACTTACACAGTAACACAGCCGCCCATTCCTCAACTACCTTTACACAAACCGTGCGCATCAGCCAGGAGTCCACTCCTCTTACCCCTCACCTCCAGCCTGCTGCGTCCCTAAGATGGCCTCCCTTTTATCCTCTCTCCTTTACCCCACCAGGGCACAGTCTGGGCGCAGAGAAGGAGCCCACGCGTTGGGAAGGGTCGCCCCTCACCCCGCCCCCACTAACGGGCTGGTCACTGCGTGAAATAAATCAGCACGCTTCTGCCCAAAAGCAATGGCTCCGAGAAGGGGTTGAATCTCCCAGGAGACAAATCCTATGGCTTTGCCTTGACCTCACCCCACCCCAAAAGATAACTCTTTAACAGGGAGCGACGAGCCCGTCTTCCTGGGGAGGCTCCGCGGGCCCCAGTCTGCACACCTGGGGTCTACGAGGCAGCACGCGCGACCTCGCGCGCTCTTTCGGATCTCAGGGCGCCGACCCCCGCCGCCCGCGATCCTGCGCCTGGGCCCTCGGCCCGAGGACCCTCCGCGCTCCGCAGCCGGTCGGCCGCGACCCCGGGCCCGGGGCGAGCCTGCCCCGCCGCCGGCCGCGCCCACCGCCGCGCTACCTTGTCCTCGGGCGGCGCGTCCGGTTCGCGGGCCGTCCTCTGCCTCAGCTCCGTCATGCTGGACGCTCGCGCGCGGCGTCGCCACGAGCCAGCAGCGCAGTCGCCGCAGCGGAGGGGCGCTCAGCGCGGGCAGCCGGGCCCGAGAGGCCAGAGCTCCGCAGCGGCTCGCAAGCAGCCTCGCAGCCCGGCTGCCAGCCCTTGAGCCCGGCCCCGCCCAGCGCCGCTGCAGCCTTCCACCCGAGCTGAACGCAGTTGGCCTTCCCCAGACCTGACTGCTCGCTCCCCCTCCAAAGAAGCTCGAGACGAGCGCGCACGCGCACTGCCGCCATCTTGGCCCGGGAGATCCGCCAATGGCACGAATACACCACGGAGGCGTGGTGATGGGGGCGGGACGAAGCAGAGTGCAGAGGCATACATTGGATAGAAACTTGAGGGGGCGGGAAAAGAGTGCGTCTCGGAGCTAGATTAGCCAATGAAAGCTCTCATTTGACCGCAGGTGGGCGGTGTAGACGCGCTGGGTCCTTACGTCACTGGTTACTGAGGGCAAGAGAAGTCTACCTCACCCCATTCACTACCTCTGGTCTAGCTCTGCCGGTACTTGCTACCCTCAGCTGCATTTTATTCTTTTACACTTCCACATCCAGGGGTCTTCACTCACACACTTCAGAAAGGAAAAGAGCTGGGCGTGGTGGCGCAAATTTATGATCTCAGCACTCTAGCCCCTGAGGATGAGGATTGCATAAATTCGAGGCCAGCTCAGAATACATGGTGAATTTAAGGCCAGACTGAAGTGCATAGCAAGACTGTCTCAAAAACAAACAACAACAACAACCAAAAACATAAAAGAAAAAAAAAAAAAAGTACATTTACGGGGCCAGGGAGATAGCTGAGTAGAATTAGCGCCTGCCTAGCAAGCGCAGGGTCCTGAGTTCAGTCCCTGGTACCGGAGGGGGGAAAAAATGGACGTTTGTCAGGCCCGCACTAAGCAGGCCGGAGGTGCTGACTTGACTACCAGGAGAGAATCATATGCTAAACATAACGCAACGCAAACTTCAGTCTGCCTTGCTTTGCCAAGGCATCTGTAGTAGTTACTGGGCGCTTACTGTGTGCTTGGCACAGAGCTGAGTAATTGCTCATTGGTTTGTCTCATTTAATCCACTTACGCCTTGGAATGGATCTGATTTTTCACTTTCCGATTAAGAGCACTTGCAGCCTTTTAAGTGTTTCGTTTTCTAGGGGTTTTGGTTTTGTTTCATTACTGGGGGCTTAACTCAGGGACTAGAGCATGCTAAGCCGGGGCTTTGAAACTTTGCTGCATCTCTGGTTTCAGGATGGTTAAAGGCCATTTTTGGAGACACGAATGCTGCCTGCTTTGTTTACTGTAGATTCCCTGTATGCCAGACACATCCTAAAAATCCATCCTTTATTGAATGGATTGTTAGGAAAATGGTTTAGCCAAGATCAGCAGTTAAGACTGCCATGGGGGCACAGGCCTATGAATGCAACACTTGCAAGGCTAAGGTAGGCAGAATGTCAAGTTAAAGGCGAGCCATAGTGAGTTCAAGGCTAGCCTGAACTGCATAATGAGACCGTCTCAAAA